AGAGCCATCTAGATCCAGCCTAGAATCTCTCTAGAAACAGCCTAGGAGCTGTCTAGATATAGCCTAGAACCCTATAACGATGTTCGTATAAAAAAAAATCGATCCCCAAACATAAAGAAATAATCTTACCTCTAACTGAGGGATGCTCTAGACCAAAAGTGAAGTCTCAAACTTCCAAAAGCTGCTCGGAACGATCCTATTGAAGAAATGAAACACGTGTTGTAGGTTAATAATCCTGAAGAAAATCTCAACACTTACCGAAACACAATCCAAAATGACCAAGGGACAACTCTAGACAATGATCAACAAGAAATTAGTCTAATTGGAGTTTCCCTGGCACAAAATTCCAAAAAATCTTGCCCAAAAATTATTAGAGCCAAAACCGGACCTCACAGCATGAGGTTTCAAATCAAAAGGGCAGATTCTTCCTTTTAGATTTGGGAAGAAGGCTTCCATTTGTCAAACTTCTAATTTTGATGAAAATTATAGAAAAGGGCGTGTTAAGTTTCACAACAAAAATACGAACTGAAAAGTGGGTTGTGTATAAATGACTCCAGATAACCGGTGAATGTTGAAAATTGCCTATAGAACATATATCAAGAAGTAGAACAGGTCTAAAGAAATCGCCTAGACAAAACAGCTGTTCAATGACAGGTGCAACATGAAACTGAAAAATCGAAAAAAGTAAACAACAGCAACTATCATAACCTCAGATTATTTGATTGGATTTGCCACTGGCCTTTTTATAAGATTCTAATCCATAACAGCGGGCCCTGCCGTACTGAATCAAACCTGCCTAGATCAATTAACTACATTTGCAAACCTGAACCAAAACACTTTTAGTAGAAGGCTGAACTCAAGGTAATAAAAGCTGGGCACAGAAAAGATAGTCGTTTATTCATTTATTTCTTTATAGTTCTATATGGAATCATATCCACTAGAGCAAAACAAAGTAGCATACTTGAAGAGAAATTGAAAATGATACACTCTCGTTGTTGACAGGTCGAGTAGCAAGTTGACATTAATACCGGGGACCAGCCGATCAGTGGCGTGGGGATCAAGGAATTTTGTTACAAACATTATTTCTCGGGCTTGGGCCCGAGCTCAGCTAGCGCTCTGTATATGATTCTTTTTTGGCAGGTAGCTATAACTGCAAAAACAAGTGTGTGCTTTCAAATAATTTCATATACCGGGTGTTTTAAATTAGTCTCCCACCAGTGGCATCCCGCAAATTATGGAAGATTCATTTGATCCTAATTGTGCCTGCCTGCGAGATGACTAAATGATTCTTAAATGGAAGACTCCGGGCGAAAAATGTCTAGTACAGGGTGCTGCAATTTGGAGTGTTTTGACAGGAAAAACATACTTCCAGACCAGATAGAGGAAAATTGACTTAGATGTCATGGGATTGATTTTCGAGAAACCTCAATTGTTAAAAACCGTATCGCGATATCTTCAATGGTATCATTAATACAGGGCGATTTTCGATTTTTCCCTATTATGGAAAATAGCTATAAGTTTCTTGTTTATCAATTTTTTTTTTTTATTTCTGTGAAAACATCTTTGAGATACTTTTCTGAGCACAATCCAGTAGCATACCCAGTTTTTTTCTATTTCACTCCTATTTTGAGATATTGACCAAAGTTCGATTTTTTTAAATAGGACACCCTATATATTAATAGCTCATTGGATAGCTCTGCTTTTGCCGATTTCAATGATATAAAGTTCGATAGGTTTATCTCTAACAGCTTTCGAAAAAAAATTATATCTGTTTCAGTCATTAGAAACAATGTGTTAGAAAGAGACCTTCCTCATTTTCCTTACAGATAGAAAATCCTTTTCTAACACATTGGTCCTTATGACAAAAACAGATATAATTTTTTTCTCGAAAACTGTTAGAGATAAACCTCTCGAACTTTATATCATTGAAATCAGCAAAAATAGAGCTATCCAATGAGCTATTAATATATAGGGTGTTTTATTTAAAAATATCGGACTTTGGTCGATATCTAGAAATTGGAGCGAAATAGAAAAAAATTGAGTACGCCACGGGATTGTGCTCAAAAAAGTATCTCCAAAATGTTTTCACAGAAATAAAAAAAATTGTAAATAAAACACTTATAGCTATTTTTCATAAAAGGGGAAAATCGAGAATCGCCCTGTATCAATGGTACCATTGAAGATATCTTGATACAGTTTTCGACAATTATTGACGTTTCTCGAAAATCAATCCCATGACATCTAAGTCAATTTTCCTCTATCTGGTCTGGAAGTATGTTTTTCCTGTTGAAACACTCCAAATTGCAGCACCCTGTACATACATCAGACTGTTGTACCAGGCACTCTGGTGGAGAGACTGCTACGTGCACTGGAAACATTCGGGAAACGAGTGAGTTATGGTTGCTATGGATTATTTTTCGTGTTCAGGGGGCAATGCTTGAATATTCTCGCATACGAAAGTTGGTACTAATTTGAATAACAGCAATGTAAATTGAATAGGGAACGTTCGAAATCATCTCAATTTTCTCAGGATCAGTTTGAATTCTCAATCAAGAAGCGCTTACAGTCGCTGAAGCATCAATGGAAATCATCATTGCCTGGCCCAGATTACCGATGGAAATTTTTACCGGTCAGGGGTGGATTTTTGAGACCATTATATGGAAAAAACTGATTGCTGATAATAGAAAGAACGGGAACGACTTCTCTTCATCCACAGTCGGGCAGGCTGGCTAAGAGGCGCAATTGGACCACTATTAAATACCTTTCGATGTTTGTCGATGAGCGAAACGAGCATTAATTAGTGCCCCTTTTACTGGCTTATGAAACCTCTCAGCACCAATCAATCGGCTATTCACCATCGAAGCTGTTGAGAGAAGTCCATGATTTCGCCAACAGATTATGTCGGGGCAGCGATAAAATGAAAATGAGACTCTGCCAAGCCCGAAATTACAAAGACCGTGGAAAGGTTCATACAGTATCGTTAAGAAAATCAACGACTTGGTATACAGTATAATACAGTATTAGTATTCAATTATCTCCGTAAGCCAAACCAAAGGATGTACACCTACAAAGGTCCAGAGGCGAGAATATACGACTTGGATTCTATAAGGGGAAGATGTTCGGGGCGTACAGCTTCAATATGGAGGAAAGACCAATAAATATCTCAAGTTGGGGAAATTCTACAAAATGTTTGCCTGATGACTGAGAAAAGCATGCATGAAAGTTCACCGCGCAAGTGTTTGGCAATTTCAGAAAAAAACGCTCAGCGAATTATCTAAACAATTCCAGAAACAATGACGTACTACATAAATCGGAGTCGACCATCGAGGGAAAAAGTCAAATATAAATTGGACGCCAGTGTGACAAAAATCACTTAGTGGTGAATTGAAAGTGGAGAAGCGAATAATCGTATAATTAGTGGAACGCGAGTCGATTGTAAGGCAGTTAGCCGTGATTTAGTTTTGTGACTAGTTAGGCTTGATTGAAGTTGACCGAAGTTCTAAGTTTGCTGTGATTTTCATGTTATTATCATGGCTGAAGGTAAATTAATTTTGGAAGAGTAGTCTAGTAACACTTATTCGAGCAATATTTTTTGAATTCATTCTATACCAAAGTTTTCCAAGCTGAAAGAAACCTGAGGATGAATGCTTCTCCCATTTAATAATTAATTAAAAAAACTGAAAACTGAAGAAATATAGAGTCTTGATGGTGTTAGCAGTTGAGACATGAGACCTCAACTGGTAAAATCAGTGGTTTTATCAAAAAAGGAAGAAATTTTGTTCAAAAATTAGATGATGCGTCTTTAGGGCAAACAAGCCATAAAGGCTTTAGAATGCCTTTGAAATGTTTATTTCGGCTTGAAGTGATGTAGGATAGAGATAGTTATTATTGTAAATATTGCTGTAAATAAACATTATTATTATTATTATTATTATTATTAGTAAAGTGATGATTCGACATTATCTCCCAAAATAAAAGAGAAAACTAAAATACGTTATTTGAAACTTTGAACAGAGTAGAAAAAAAAAAAAAAAAAAAATAGAAATTGTTGTGACTTTTTACAACAGACATATTATACGAATATCTTTGTACACTAGGAGGGAATAACGAAAACCTCGTAGCCATTATAAATTCATCATTGCACTCCTGAATAAAATTCTAATAATAAAATTGTTTTTCATTTTTAAGGACTCAAAATATATCAAATGAAAGCCGCTGCCACTAAACACACTAACAAAATTTCTCTAAATAAGGAAATTTTATTAAAACATTAATAGAAAAACATTTACATCGGAAAAATTGAAGCCACGGTATAGAAAATGCTTCCATTGCTTTTTTGGATCAGGCAGACGTAGCACATTAGGTGAAATATGCTTAAATATTTTCTCTTGTCAATTGTTTTTCATAGTTTGAAAATTTAAATATGAAATAAATATTTTATTATTGTTGTTGTGTTCTGAAAATTATTATGCATTTTTATTAATTTCTCAAAACTTTGCACAAACCCCGGATATACGTATGGTAGGTATTGAAATAGTTTCATTAAATTCAATTAAATGACTTCTGAAAAAATCATGTCGTGTTACATAGGCATAATTTCAGTAATCATTATTTCCTACCTAATTACTGCCGGATATTCCCATATATAAACAATAATGATACTCGATCTCAAAATAAAAGTAACTGTTTAGGAATTGAAAAAAAAAACACACTTTCAGTCTTTCTTGATTTGCTATTGAGAATTACCATTTGAATTGGAGCGGCACCAAATCTCTGACGTACCTACTTTGACTGAATCATTAACCGAAGCGTCATGGGGATTCCATAAATACATAGCTTGTTTTGTATTTATTTTGGATTTTGATAATTAAAATTCAAAACTAAATTATTGTGTTTGTTTTCTTGAAATATTATAATTCCAAATTATTTCAATAAAAACAAATCTTATATCTTGTAACATTATTGAACTACCGAGACCTTCGACTTTAATTATTATAAAAGCCGATTAGACCATACGTATTCCAAACAGAATTGATTATCGAAGAATACAAGTATGTTTTTGCAGATTTTATGACAAATAATTGGAAATACCCGCGATCATTAAGAAAGTTGCAGTTAAACGAAAAGAAATAAAACCTGTATTTCTTTGAACGGTAGTGTCAGTAGTACTCATAGGTTGGGAAATCATCGACAGGTTTTGGTTTTAGTTGGAAATGTGGTACTCTTCGGTTCTGTGTTTGTGTTTTGGGATTATCAGTAGCAATGCGCGTAAGTACAGTTTCGCTTTTTTATTGCATGCAATGAAGTCTATTTGGAGATTTTTCCGATGAAGAGGAACTCCAAAAATTTAATATGAGTTAGCAATTACCTACATATGAAATATGGATTTTGACTACGAGAAAGTAACATTTAAGGAAGAGAAATTAAATGCCATATTTTTAAACTGTTAAATGATCATCAGGGTTTAACAGCTAATTAAATTTTGCTATTTTGTGTCTTGTGATACAAATCACCCAATTATTTCAACATTATACTGACAAAATTACATGAGCCCAAAGATGCTTCTATTAACAAAAGCAAATCACACATAATCGATCTATTCGAATATTTAAAAATAATAATTGTTGATCCAAGTTTAGGTTTAAATAGGTACAAAGCCCATCAGAAAACAGGTCCAGGGACCAAAAGGCGACAGAAGTGGAAACTTCAATTAGGCGAGATTAATAATATGAAATACAGGTATTTTTATGTATTCATGCCCAGATCGATCTTCCTTTTGATCATACTCTAAAAATAGTATAATAGCTTTCTGATAACTACTAAAAGGTGTGATGAATACTTTTGATTCAAACCAATTTACCAAATAGGTATTCTTTAGATTACCTATGTCTATATGAAATACAACAATTACGCTCAAAGAAAAAATAAATTAATTAATTATTTTGAAAAATTACTTAAATCTTTATCTGTCCGCGCTCCAGAATCTCCTGTAGCTACCCGCGCGGTGTATTATGTACACCACATTTATGAATGTGTGATTGAGTGCATAAATGAATGTATAAGGATAACGAAACATTTTGTCTTGATTTGTCATGCTAGGAATCGGTTTTCACACAATGGTTTTCACCCATACATGCTCGAAACATTTCAGAACCGGTACCATCTGTCGTCCAGAGTTCCAAAAAGTGGGTATGATTTTGTTTCTCACATCCAGATAACAAAAGCAAACCCATGGATGCTTGCATTGCACTACAATCCTGTGTAGTAGTGCATTAAAGAAATTGGTAATAAAACAACTAACTTTCCAGCTACCAAAGCGCAACTGTCCGAGTACCTAAGTAAACAGATCGGTCGTAGGTTTTTAGTACAATAAATTTGTGCTTATCAAAGCCTCTCGCGGGAAAGTTTTGGGGTAGTTTTGATTTTTTCTATTCCTTATGTTTTTTGGGGTGCTACATCCGAATTTAACGATTGCTAACAAAATTTCGTGACGCAACACTGAAATAAATGCAAAAAAAGTGAAAAAATTTGTAGTTTTGGTAGTCTTTTGCGTATAACTCGAAAACTATCAATTTTTTGGAGAAAACACCTCTATATAAAATGAAAGTAAATAAAATTTTCTATAAATTACATTAACTAATTTTTGGGAAAATGGTCGTATTTTATTGTTCTCTCCAAAAATCCACCCTTTTCGCTCGAAAATTTTAGTTTAGTACTATTAAAAGTTCATTTGGTGAATAATTCGTAGTTTTAAATTACTAAACACGTTTAATTTAATTCATTTTTTCCGGCCTTCTCAAATAATTTTATACCTGCTAAACGGCATTGACGGAAGCTCCCTGTCTCGCAACCCCCGCCACAAATAAAAGAAACAGTGTTCAACTGCCGAAGGGTTCGAAAGGATTAGTTCCGAGTTAGAACACAAGGATAACGACCGATTTATCAAGTGTGTTTACGCGAACTGTTAAAAATGCCCTCGAAAGTGTGTTTTATTTGTGATGAAGTAATGGATAATGATGAAAAGAACACAACAACGGTGCGGGAAAAAGGTTGGAATACGTTTATTGCGTCAAGTAAAAAGAAGTGAGATGCTGAGCATGTTCAGCTAAGCAAGAAAACGGAAGTTGTGGTTCATGAGCGCTGTCGTAAGAATTATACTTATGATTGCCGCTCATTTGAAGAAGTTGGCTCGAGGTAGGGAACAGGTTAGAAGACGTTCAACTGATTTCTCTACCAAAACTCATTGCTTTATGTGTGGCCTTCTCATAGCCCCCGAGCTTATAGAACAACAAAGAAAAAAGAAATCCAATCGCAATATTGTGTATCAGGTTCGAACTTTAAAGGTTAAGGAAACCATTATAAAAAAAGCATCAGAATGCGGCAATGAGAACGTAGAAGCCATAATCAAGCCTCTTTTACCTGTCTCAGACTTCGTGGCCTCTGATTGTCAGTACCATAGTTTATATATGAGAAAACTATACAAAGGCTCAAAAATTCGACACAAGAGACCAAGAGGTCCATTCGCCAATGATGTTGAAGCAGTAATGGAAGATGTCTACAGTTATCTTGAGAATAGTGATGGAGAGTGCCAGTTTTCGTTCGAAGAAGATCATTGTCCTGATAAAAAAACAGTCGAAGCTCATCTTCTGAAAAAATATTGAAGCGATATACTAATCATTTTTTCCCTAAAAAAGCGCAGGTAGTATGTTTCAAAAACACAGGATATAAAATTTTGACTGATGCTGGGTACCAGCAGGCAATGAAAAACGAACAGGAAGGAAAGACTCCGGATCCTTAAGGCAGCTGCTGCAATTATTGTTGAGGATATCCGGAGCCAGGCTTATGACACAGAACAGTACCCCCCACCTGATCAGTTTTTAGATGAAAATGGAGAACTCATTCCAGAAACCCTCCATACATTCTTGGAAACAGTTATACTAAACAAACTCACGTTTTTTGTGATGATATTTGGAAGAGGAAGAACACAGCAATGCTCCTCCAAGTGGATATGATACAATATTCACAGCATTGTTGGCCGGAGGCCGGAATAGAGAAGACCAAATCTTTGAACCAAGCTACCTGCCTAGTGACATTTGATCAACCCCTCCATTTCAAGGCACGACACATTCTTGCTATTTATGCGAATGATCCTGCTCTTCCAAATGTTGTAATAAGACTAGGAGGATTCCATTTACTGATGTCGTTTATGGGGTCAATTGGTTTCATTATGCAGGGAAGTGGATTGACTTAACTTTTCAATACAATATTTGCAGCAAACTCAACTGAAATAGCTATTTACCTAACAAGTGCGGAAAATGAATTTTTCCCTACAGGCGTAAAAATGTAAAATTTTTCTTTTTTTGACATATCAGTGGGGTAAAATTTTTTCCGGACTGACATTTCCCGCACGCGTATCAGTGCGGAATATCGATTTTTCCGCACGGCTGTAGGAAAAAAAGTATTACCGACCACGCATACGCGGGGGCAGTACAAGCTCATATGTTGGCCCACAAAACTTTGACCATAATAATTTTTCAGTCAATAGCCCTGTCAGCTACATGGACAGAACAGTGATTCTTTCTAATGATGTGAAAGAAATTGCGAAAGTTCTGCAAGATACATTCAAAAGTAAGCTTCAATTTTTGGCAGAACGTGGCCTAACTGGCAAGCTCTGGGTTGCATATTTCGAAATGGTGACTTTGATGAAGCACTTTATTGAAGCAGATAGAAGCAGCGAATGGGAACTGCACCTTCAAACCATATATTGAATGATTTCTCTCTTTCACGTCAGTGGCCATAATCTGTATGCTAAATGCAAAATGCAAAACAATAATGTCACCTGCTGAATACTAGCGTTTCACTACAGGAGGATATTTCAACATTCGGAGGACTTATAAATTTTGGTGCGGCACCTGGACTGATATGACGATCGAGCAAACTCTGATGAAGTCAATGAAAACAAGTGGTGGTCTCATTCATAGCCTCGGAGTAACTCTTTGTTGTACGAAGATGGAACACAAGGGATGACAGCATTATATAAGTTGTGCCAAGAAATTGAGCACTTCACTGCAGTGGAACACGCGGCGACTGAACAACACGTTGACAGCAGATATACGATGCAAGAGCGAGACATAGCCGATGCAAAAAAGTTGCTGAATTGGTTCCACGAACATCCTCCTTTTCCAGAGGCCACTGACTTGATGTCACTTAGTTCAGGTGTTGTCGCAGATGATAGAATCAACTGCCACTTGTCCAAGGAGGTTGGCATTCAAAGTATGCAGCGCATTGTTAGAGGTTACTTCAAAACTGTGAAATTCAAGCGAAGCGATAGAGCGCAGCCTTTTGCAATCATGAACAGCTCAATCTTCGATATTTATGGAAGAATCCGATCTTCTGCCAAGACCTTTCGCTATCGAGGAGCCGCAGCCAGGATCTCCCAAGAAAAAACGTCTTGAATAATATAATCTCTTCTTCTTCTTATTCCTAGCCGTTCCCTATCCTCTAGATATAGGCCTCTCTCAGATAACATTATAATATGATAATAAAATCGATAATATGATACTATGATAATAAAGTGATGAAGATAATGTTATTTGGTAATAAATAAGAGTTTTGCAGAAAAAATATGGGTTTTTGTGGAGATGGAAAAAATACGACCAGTTTCAACAAGCGCTTGAGCCGAAACGGTTTGTCCTACAAAAAAATTAAACTGTTGTAATTTATAAATAATTTTTTCTACAAACGTCACTAAAAGTGTCATTTTTAACGGATGCTGTCAGTGTCTAAAATTCCATTTTATGACACTGGTGTTAAAAGTGATTACTTTTAGCACTAGTGCTAAAAGTAATCACTTTTAGTGCCTTTGTAGAAAAAATAGTGTATGATATTCGTGCTAAAAGTGATTTTATTTTGTTCAAACTTCCCTTTTCACAAAATAAAATGTCACTTTTAGCACTTATATCATAAATAACTATTATTTGCTTTTATTCCGATTTGAGCTGTTTTTTCCAAAAAAATGAATAGTTTTCGAGTTATACGCAAAAGACTGCCAAAAATAACATTTTTTTTTTACCTTTTTTTTGCATTTTTTTCAATGTTGCGTCACGAAATGAAGGATGGAAAAAATCAAAACTAGCCCAAAACTTTCCTACCAAAAATACTATTTGATTGGATATTATTGGATTTCACGTGAATAAGAGCTGATCACGCCTGTTTTTAGTATTAAAACACCCATAACTCCCTGAAAAAAAAATCGTTTGCACTTCCTTTCCGACACACCTCAAATAATTCCCAATACCTAACATAAAAATGAAAAATTATCTTTTCGCTCAAATATCGAACGAGCCATAATCAAAGTATGGCACTATAATTTTGAATTACAGTCACAATAACTAGATATAATAACATCACATTTTAAAAAATCCAAATATTTGCATAAAAGTCAAATACAAAAACAAAAAAACCATGCTGCTTATCTAAATTTTAGGTCACATATGAATATTTTTAAATCTTTTTAGTCACAAGTTATGCAAATAAATGGTAGAAGTTTTGACTGCAATAGGTTATTTATGTGCTGAACAATATAAGTACTTGTGCATATAAATTTTATAATGTAGGTTTCTAGAAAGTTTGCGGCTTAGTTGAGGAAGAGGATTTTGTTATTAAGGGGATTGAATGCGCCGTTTAAAATATATTGTAACGCACGTCGAACTATACAACTTCCAACAAATTAATACTAGAAAAATAGGCGGAGGAAAGAGCCATAGGGTTTGCTGCGGGTATAACAGAGATAGACAAAACGATAAGAAGAATTAATTAAAATTCTACAAAAAAAACTATATAGATAATTTTTGGAATTCTAGTTTGCGCCATTGTATTGCTAACACACATAAGAATGGCGCTAATTAAAAAAACACCGTAAATTGATTAACTTTCTTGTTTTTTTTTTCCAGTTTAAATTACATTTTTGTAATTTTACGAGTACTTCAATTGTTAAAAAATTAGGTTCAAATTAGGAACGCAATGCATTCCTGGTTTCATTCCTCTCATTCCCACTAAGGAGTATTAATAGGAGCGGAAGTATACAATGATAGACTGCGTTAGGAGCTTCGCGCAGGAAAAAATATTTTGGCATTGAGGCGCATCCAATCCCCTCAAATGTCGAAAGTAGTCTATACATGTATTTTTTTCTAACTCATTGAGTATATTTAAAAAATTCTTCAATTTCAGAAACACTAGGAGGCTACTGCAGAACACCAACAGGAGAATCTGCAAAATGTATAAACGTTTGGTCTTGCAATTCTTTGCTACCACTTTTAACTGCTCCGAGCCGGACTCAAGAACAAACAAACTTTCTAGTCAACTCGAAGTAAGTGTCAGAGTGAAGCCAGTAAATGAGGTTCAATTTAAAAAGGGCTTTTGGCTTGTAGGTGCGGTTTTGATTCTTCCGGGAAACCTTACGTCTGTTGTGGATCCGGTTTTAACCCAGTTGGAGGTACTGAGGACGATGCTTTCAGTAGCAGTTATACCACAAATCCTGCAATTCCAGGTCGAACACAATGTGGATGGCAGGTAAAAACCATCTTTATTTAAATGAATTGAGGAAGAGTTAAAGGAAAATTGAAGGATTGAAAAATTTGGGCCCTGAACGGAGTTCGCCGGTGCGTTGCTCTACCTACAAGCCATCATGACCATGTTACAGATTTTTGATTTTTTTTTTGGAGGTGTTGTTAGAGGAAGTTGCGTGGTTCTCCGCTCATTGCTCAAACCTCCCAATCCCCCAATAGACGTACACATCTTCATTTAGTTCTCTAAACATCAGAAATATTATTGTACCATTTACCAACTAACACCAAGTCGACTAATTATGCTATTACTTTACGGCCGCTTTTACTTCACGGCCGCTTTTACTTTACGGCCGCTACCGCTGCTTTGGTGAAAATAAACAAACAATCGGAAACGCAGTGCCGTAGCCATCAACACAACGAATAAACAATTAGTTAGCAACCACAATGAAACCAAGTTTTTAATTTTAGCTCTATCCAAATTTCCACATATAATGCTAAAAAAAGCGGCATGATTAAAAATTTGGGAGAAGTATTTTCTTGCATTTTTTTCGGAAAATGCCAAAATTAAATATTCCTCAACGTTATGGTCTTCAGGTCCACCTATGTTATACTCTATGTTAAAATTTACAATTATAGTCGGAAATACCTAACATATCAGCAAGTTTTCAAAATTGATTGCTTTTTTTAAAAAAGCTCAATGTAAGATACCAGGCGAAAAAGTCGGCTATTTTGATCAATAAAGTTTAAAGCTACTGTTGAATTTTCTTCTTTTTTCAAGAACAAACACTTGCCTAAAAAATTTTGTGTGCACCTCGGCCGAATGATCTTTTTTGGCCTCACCTGAAATTTGCTTGGCCTCGGCTGCGCCTCGGCCGCAAATTTCAGATTCGGCCAAAAAAGATCAACTTTACGGCCTTGGTACACAAATAACTATTTAAGTGTAGAGGAGTATACAAACATTTAAGGTAAAAAACGATAGGTATTAAAGAAAAAAACGAAGAATTTAAATAGTAATTTTCGTATTTTTGCTGACGAAAAGAGAAGGGTAGCAGATCGAATATATTGTCACGGATTCCGGGTTCACTAAAACTCACTTCACAAACAGTAACAACTTTTGTTAAACTAATTAGAGAATTATGGCACCTTCAAATAGCGACGGTCACTAATAAAAACGTTCTTATTTTGACGTTATTGACACCTACGCATGCGTATTTGTGACTAAAAATAGTGGCGGTCAGTAATAAAATAAGGATCATCCTTATTTGTGATTGGATAGTGAAGGGCAGTATTTGTTCCACTATTTTTCGAGACATGCGCAAATCTAAATCTGCCAAAGAATTTTTCAGATTCTAACCTCACATAATTTGTTTATATTTTTTGTTTGCGTTTTGTGGATGAATAAAACCGTAAAACATCATTTGCACCTCCTAGAATAGCAGTTTCTTACTTTTCTTCCATTACAATTGAGTAAACAATGCGACACTGACGCGAATAAATGATCAAAATAGTGCCAATTGAACATGTTGTGCCATAATTCGTTTTATTCATGAGAAATAGTGACTGTCAGTAATTAAATTAGGCCGATCAGTAATAAAATCGATCACTATTTGGAAAGTGCCATAATTCTCTATTGACTCTTAAATGAAAATTCAGAAACACACCTAGAAATGATATTAGTATATTAAAGTATAAGTGGATATTAAGGTCTTTAAAACACGCGCGATTTTTCGAGCACGACGGCGTAGCCGAGTGCTCGAAATAGAGCAAGTGTTTTAAAGACCAGTTATCCACGAATACTTTACACTATTTTTTTTTATTGGTATACGTTCATATCATAAATTACTGATAATTGTAGAATGCTAAATTCGTGCTTGACATTTGTTACATTTTATTTGACGTTATCTACAAGTACCTAACCTACAGCTGACAAATCGATAATTAAAAAATTGACATTTAAACCTTTCTCGGGTTGTTGGTTGTTGATGTTGTCATTGGTAACTTTAAAACACGCGCGTTTTTGAATGTTGGATTTAAACACGCTGAAGAGTACTTTAAATAAGTGAAATAGGTTATCAATAAAAAAAAATATTGAAATGTAGCTCAGTATAGTTGCCATATAAGTTAATTAACAGTCGCTGCCCATATCATCAATTTGAAAGGAAAATATAAAGATTTTTAAGTTTCCAGAAAACTAATTAAAAAAAATAAATGATTAAAAATTGAATTGATAAATATGGTCAGCTTCTGTAATAGATATTTATTTTATTAGGAATGTAAGTGATACTTATATGACGCGCATGGAAGTTTGAACGCCGAGCGCAGCGAGGCGAATACAATCCATGCAAGTCACATCAAGAATACTTATACTCCGAATGAAATACAATATTTTATTTTCAAACAATCTCTATTCCGAATAATGCAGAATATTTATAGTTATTAAGGTATCAAGCGTATTATAAGGAGAATTTCATACATCTGTCAAAACTGGTATTCCAACAATAAATTGACATGTTTTGATTGTTGATTTTAACCAATTAGATTGTAATTACGCGATAATTTGATTTATGAAATTCTCTCATTAAATACAACTCGTGCAATGGAAAAATATTTATAATTTTCGACAAATTTGCACTCATGCGTTTTTAACTGAAAAAGGCAACTAAAAATGCATTCGAGCAAATTTCCCAAAAATTATCAATAATTTCCATTGCATTAGTTATATTACTATTGATAATAACACAATGGTGTATACAGAGTGGAAAATTAAAAAGGATCCACCTGGATTTTCTCGAAAATTATCAAAAAATCAAAAAAACGCCGGAACACGTCGATTTTGTTTTCAAGGGGGACACTTTCTGGCTATTTCAAAATTTTCCTAGATTGCACCCCCTTACCGGGGTGAGTTAAGGGGGTGAGTTGCACCCTCAAAAGTTGCATTGGGAAACTGGGTCGAGTGGTACCTTGTTTGAGAGGTATTTGAGATTGCTTTACAGATCTGTAATTTATTTCGAAATCTGACTTCTAGTTTTCAAGATATTCGCTTCGGAAGTTGCCATGGGGCGAAAAGAGTACGTGTTTTTCGTGAAAAAATGAAAAGTGAGTCATGTTTGAAAGGTGAGGTTGTTCGAAAGGTTCAAACTGACAAAGAAGCAAAGGTTCAAAATAAACAAAATTGACGTGTTTCAGGAATTTCAATTTTTTCTAGTAGAAATGTACGAAAAACACGTTCTCCTTTCGCCCCAGAGCAACTTCCGAGGCGACTATCTTAAAAACTAATAGTCAGATAAATGATTAAAAATTGAATTGATAAATATGGTCAGCTTCTGTAATAGATATTTATTTTATTAGGAATGTAAGTGATACTTATGTGACGCGCATGGAAGTTTGAACGCCGAGCGCAGCGAGGCGAATACAATCCATGCAAGTCACATCAAGAATACTTATACTCCGAATGAAATACAATATTTTATTTTCAAACAATCTCTATTCCGAATAATGCAGAATATTTATAGTTATTAAGGTATCAAGGGTATTATAAGGAGAATTTCATACATCTGTCAAAACTGGTATTCCAACAATAAATTGACATGTTTTGATTGTTGATTTTAACCAATTAGATTGTAGTTACGCGATAATTTGATTTATGAAATTCTCTCATTAAATACAACTCGTGCAATGGAAAAATATTTATAATTTTCGACAAATTTGCACTCATGCGTTTTTAACTGAAAAAGGCAACTAAAAATGCATTCGAGCAAATTTCCCAAAAATTATCAATAATTTCCATTGCACTAGTTATATTACTATTGATAATAACACAATGGTGTATACAGAGTGGAAAATTAAAAAGGATCCACCTGGATTTTCTCGAAAATTATCAAAAAATCAAAAAAACGCCGGAACACGTCGATTTTGTTTTCAGGGGGGACACTTTCTGGCTATTTCAAAATTTTCCTAGATTGCACCCCCTTACCGGGGTGAGTTAAGGGGGTGAGTTGCACCCTCAAAAGTTGCATTGGGAAACTGGGTCGAGTGGTACCTTGTTTGAGAGGTATTTGAGATTGCTTTACAGATCTGTAATTTATTTCGAAATCTGACTTCTAGTTTTCAAGATATTCGCTTCGGAAGTTGCCATGGGGCGAAAAGAGAACGTGTTTTTCGTGAAAAAATGAAAAGTGAGTCATGTTTGAAAGGTAAGGTTGTTCGAAAGGTTCAAACTGACAAAGAAGCAAAGGTTCAAAATAAACAAAATTGACGTGTTTCAGGAATTTCAATTTTTTCTAGTAGAAATGTACGAAAAACACGTTCTCCTTTCGCCCCAGAGCAACTTCCGAGGCGACTATCTTAAAAACTAATAGCCAGATTTCGAAAAAAATTACAGATCTGTAAAGTCATCTCAAATACCTCTCAAACATACCACTCGACCCAGTTTCCCTATTCAACTTTTGAGGGTGCAACTCACCCCGGTGAGGGGGTGCAACTAGAAAAATTTTGAAATAGCCAAAAAGTGTCCCCCTTGCAAAAAAAATCGACGCCTTTCGGTGTTTTTTTAATTTCCTGATAATTTTCGAGAAAATCCAGGTGGATCCTTTTCAATTTTCCACTCTGTATACGTTGATCGAAAGCGTTAATATCCTTAATACCCGTGGTGCCTTCAACGTTTAATGTCCAACTTAATTATTTTTTATCTGAGAAAGTTTTGAATGAATTTTGAATAAACTAATCTAAAACAAATCAATAACCTGCAAAAAATTGTCATAACGCCCCAGGGCGTTATTTTTCGAAATAACGCCCTAGGGAATTATTTCGTATTTAACTGACATAATGTCATTATTTCTCGAATAATATACCAGTCGGACATTAATTTAAATTATGAAATCCATATTTAGAAGGATCACCTTTATAAGCACCTATACCTGTATGTACAGGTGAACTACCTCAAATCGCTACGGAAAAAAATGTGTAACGGCGTAGAAATGTTATACTCCGGCGGAGTATAACACTTATAAGCCGCTCAAGCTGAAAGTCGCTAAATTAACTCTTATACCTTGTCAAAATGATCACAAAAATTACTGTTTGAAAATAAAAAAAAATAATTCAATTGAATCAAATTTTACCTGAAAGAAATTGAAAGTTGGGCTATATAAGCGTTAAATGGTCTGGAGATATAATAGAAATCCTCAAATATATAAGTTGTAGGACCCAGGGTGAAAAATTGATCAATTTTTGACGTTATAGGTACTAATCAATAAGTTTAAATTTACAGCATGTTGTCCAACCTTGACCTTTGTTCAGATTACTTATCGATTATTATTGATAAAAATTATAAAATACACGGCAATATTAAAAGTTATGCAAAGACTAATCCATAACAAATTCGATAAATCAAAAGCTAATTTTCCATCATCGTGTCAAGAATAAGAAGATATTTTAAATGTGAGTGAAAATCATATAAAAAAAATATATCTTAATATCTTATAAATGATTTTATAGAAGAAAAGGTATTAAACGTTATAAGTGAAACCTAATACAAGCCTCCATTCCAACTTAAGGTAGAGCACGGAAACCATCCATCCTCGGTCACTTGACGAAGGGAACCGCACATGGAACTTGCGGACTCTAGCCCAGAATCCAGGCAGGTAAGGGACTAGAATTGTCGTCATATGTAGGGCACACGTATCGACTTGATTCTTGTAGAGTAGAAAACTCTTCAAAAGCTCTATGCCACACTCCACAGAAGTGAGGTTACTAATGAAAATGTGGCCTTTTTGGAATGGACTTGTTGAAAGAAACGGCTCTCCGAAAGACCCTAAGTAATAAGGTATTCCATGAACAACCATTACCTAAAAAAAAAAAAAAGAAACTTACCACGAGTGGGGTCGAAATTCAAACTTGAATAAAACGTTAATCACGAGACTTTTTATTTAAATTTATTCGGTAATCAATGGATCATTGCCTTAAGCAACTTTATTTCGCTGAGACAATGCCTGAAGGCCGATAAGGTACATTTTCCACGAGAACGATAATCGATAATTCACTTAGGAAGATGATTGCCCCCCTAGGCCACAGTCGCACCTTTTCAAGGCAACGGCAAGAGTAGAAAAGGGGCTCTTCAATTTTCTCTTCCAGAATAAATAGATTTTACTTGACATTTTTGAAAGACGATCCACAGATAGGAGGGGTTAATCTGTGGGACGACCTATCAACTTATTAACCTGTCAACCCTAAGCTATGTGAAAAGTACTACGTTCGAAAACTATTAACAAGGTTAAAGAGCAACAAAGTACTTGGGTCGAGTGAATCAAGTAGTACGAAAAAAAGCGCCTATGGCCTTCTCGAGGTCACCGATAAAATAATTAATTCAGCCGGCAATAGATGCCGCCTTATGGCTGGATAATTATATAAAATTATAAAATGTAAAAATTATTTATATAGAAAAGAACAAGTGACATTTGCAATGTCACATCATAATGATTTAATCTCTTTTGTCTAACATTTCTACGCCTGTCTAAGTGGTTTGCGACATGAACGCAGCGCCTTGGACCGCTTGGCCTTCCCAGATCTACCTTCATGTATGCATGGCTCTTTTTGCCTTGGATTGTCGTCATGGACACTAGACGGCTACTAGAATGGCTACCTGGTCCTGTTCTCTGTTGATTGCGATGATGCCAACTACCTTTCCTGCACTTTCGTGGATGCTCGCACCCCTCTTCATAGAAATTTACAGATCGGCCGTTTGAAGGATAACTTTGACCTTCTGAATCAGCAGTCGTAATCAACCAATCTTCTTGTTTCCGGCTTCCCTAATCTCGAAAAATTATTCGAGGTCGGAGGTCACTATCTTCTAGTTGTTCATTTCCCAGCAGTTCAGACTCCACTCGATCGGCCTTTAGAGACGTCGAAGTCAATAGTAACCATATAGATGCAATAATTATTTGGTGTAAGAGCAAAAGCAAAAATCAAAATAAATCGGTTTTGTAGAATGGAAGATGATGAAATCAATTGACGGAAATATAGTAAAAACCTTGTGAAAACCGAACCAAAAAACACAGTGAAATCCAAAAACAGTATTTGGAGGAAAATGTCATTTTGTTGCGAAAAAAGTACACTTCTGGTCAAGATATTCCAATATCCGAATTTGCATCTATCTTGTAAAGCTGGGCTTCTAATATGAGAAAAAAAAACCGGGAAGAATATAGAGAGCATACAGTAAAAGTTCTTACGCTTACGATCACAAAATTAAAATAAATTCCTTCAAAAAAATTTGAATTTAAAGCTGCCTCAGATGCAAAAAATGATAAAAGGAGAAATTTACAAGATATAGGCGGAAAACGTAACATCATTGAAGTAAAAACAGGTAGAATTCAATATAATCCTGTTTTTTTCAAAAACAGGGCAAGGGGATAACCGAAAACTTGCCGATCCAAAATGCTTGGTGAAAAATAGACCACAATAGACTCCAGTTTTGCTCAGTCAGAATGTATCTGAAACTCCAATCTGAAAGAGAAAAAGTCACCAATACCAGACTATTTTTGACTCCAAATTCAAATTGGTAAATCACCGGAAATTGGTTCAAAAACAACCCTGTGGAAGTACATGAGATATCAGCTTGGACAAAAAGACAAGCAGACAAATCAGGCTTCAACACCACCAAAAAAATTACCAATCATTCACTTAGGGCAAAACTGGCCAAAAGCGGAGTGTCACAATAAAATCTAATAAGAATCACGGGTCATTCCAATGAAAAATCAAAATACATATTGCGTATTTACAAATGGATAAAGATCGTCCGATCAAGTTTTATTTTTTTTAAAGTAAATAAATATGTAGGTATAGTTTGATTTTCATTAAATTTTGGTATACCTACTATGCCTACTTGTTATTTGCATTAATAAATTTCATTTTATTTTACAATTTCCATGAAATTCGAGAAATATTCTTCCTATAAATACCATTCCTACTTGAAAATTTACCAGATAATTTATATTCAAGTTTGTACAAATTCCAACAAGCTCTTATGAAAATTATCGGTGATTTTCAAGCACTCGTGGTATTACCCCCGATTATTTTCTGAAATACTTTTGGCTTTGACATTTGAACTGATCGCTGAATTTAGCTCGAACAAATGACGAAATGGGATTATTTTATTGCTTGTTTAGTCACTGCAGTGGTAGTTTACGAATAACTACCTACTAGTTTTGTTTAATATTTGCTCTGATTATTTGACTTTGAAGGCTGCGTTCCTTATTTATTTCTATATTTTATTTTTCAATAATATTTAAATTAAAACATAATTACTCGCGGTCGTACATAGAATTTGTATGTACCACAGGCGCAAATGGTGTTTGAGGCCCTTCGCGTGATTGAAGCCCTCGGCTGCGCCTCGTGCTTTAATTTCCACCTGGCGCGCCGCAAACATTGTAATTGCAGCCTTGGTACATAAATAACCTCGTATATAAATAACTACTGTCAAACGGTTTCTAGGCTTGGCTCAAACACGAACTCTGTTTTGTTTTCGCCAAAAATATTGCACCTGAATCTATATAAATATCTTAAATTAATGTAATTATTATTATTACTTTTATTATTATTATATGTTCAAATTATTTATGAAAGATTCTGTTTCAGACAACCAATAGAATTTTTAACGGTGAAGCAACAGAGTTGGATGAATTTCCTTGGATGGTCATTATTGAGTACTTGAAGCGCGATGGCAGGCGGAGGATTGCATGTGCTGGATCTCTTATAAACCGAAGATACATTTTGACTGCTGCGCATTGTGTTAAAGGGGCTGTTTTTATTAAAGTTGGACAACCGTATGTTGATAATCAAAAATGTTCCAGTAGTCACTTAATTATAATTTTTCTTCTAGAATAAACGTTCGTTTGGGAGAATACAACATCACTAATCCCTATAGGGATTGTTTCATGAAAAAAGGAATAGCATCTTGTAACCAACCAGAAATTAATGCTGGCATTGAAGAACTAATACCACATCCTGGGTATACCGATGACGTCAGAAACCATGACATTGCCCTGATAAGATTAAACAAAAACATACCATTCTCAGGTAATAACTATTACAATCTGTGTGTAGTATATGCGATCTTAGTTCATATTATCAGACACCTCGGTTATGACCAATATATTTGAAACTACAAAGTCTCAATCGACTCTTTGGACGCAGACCTGATTAATCGTAAAAGCAAATATCAAAATACGAGCGTGGATAGTAGCTTTCGCGTATGATTTGTCACTTGAATTTTGATAAAGGTGCTTAAAAATGCTGCATTTTTATATTTTATGAGTGGAATTTGAATGGTAGGGGAGAGTGGAGCAACTTCGACATATTAAGGTTTGCAAGATTTCAAAAACGATTTGTATTTACAGAAATAAACATAACTTTATCTAAACATAGTGATAACATTTCTTTAGTTGGTAATAGGCATTTAAAACCAATATCCTATAAATTCAAAGAGAAAAATATATTTTTTTTGCATCAATGTCAAATGACGAACTTGCCCTCCCCTAGGGGGCAAATTCGACAGCATTATTCTGATACAAATACCTAAATTTTATTTTCTACCTAAATCACAGCAAAAATTAACTGCTCTTCTTCGTATACATCAAATCGTTTTTTTTAATAATCTCTAACCATTCTAGAAACAAAAATAATAGTTCGACAGTGCCGGAATAACGATTGGCGAAGTTGCCCCACCCAAGCGGATTCTAGTAAAATATTTAAAAACATCTTACAGGAGCCTTTTTTACCGCCTATTATCAAATATTTCTACATAAGATGGGCAAAGTCACTGTGTAAAAATTAACTTGCGAAATAGAACGCTCTAACGAAACGAAAGTATTATTAAAGTAATAGCCAATCCTTAGATCAGAAATTCAAAAACTCGATAATTGCGTTTTATGCGACAAATTGAGTAGCTACCTTCTCCAGACTTAAGGAGCAACTAACTGATACGTACGAATCGTACGATGCACCCTCAAGCCAGTTTCGGAACTTCCGAATCCAACCGATTCCTAGTAAAGCGCGATGTCAAACTTGCCTCGCATGTCGAAGTTGTCCACTCTCCCCTACCTATTGATGGTTTTCCCTATAGGAGGCTGATGGAGATTTCTTGCTTTTGGGACAGAAAAATAGAATTATTGTGTCTTCTGGGCGATGTTTCATTTGAGGCTTTTTCAGAGTGCAATGAACCTTCCCTTAAAATACATGTATATGTATGTGAAGTTAAAAGTATTTGAAGAATGAAACATTTGAAAAACTGAGTAAAAAATAGAAAGAACAAATTGTTGTTGGAAGATAGTAGGTAATTGTTTCGCAAACAGGAAGCATGAACAAACCCACACACTTAATTATATTTCCGATTTGGATTTGTTCCACACCAAAAGCAGTTTATTTTTTGGTATACTTTTTAGCAGAGCTATCATGCTCACTCCGTTCCTTTTCGAAGATGGAACTCCGATGACAACAGTTACATCATTCTTCTCTAATTTGTTTGCACAAATTAAAACTGTTTTGATTAATTCTTATTGGAGGTTTCCCAAGGTTTGCCATGTGCCTAAAATCTATTTAATATGATTTGTGCTTCAAAACTGGACGTGGTGCAGATCTTGAAACTTTTTCTCCTACAAAATGTAATGCTTGGGCACATTGTATTACTTTTTTTTGTTTATTTCACTAGCTACCCGGTGGTTTTCATATCTACACCAACAAAGGACATCGCACACATCTTATGGGTTTTCGGGGACCGGTCGATTTTTTTAAAAATTTGGTATGTTGTAGTTCTAGCAAAAATAAGCATTTTTCATCATTGCACCAAATCTCTAAGTATGCAGGGTGACCCAGTAAAGTAAGTCCGGATATCATAAAACAAGCCTTTTAATTATCGATGTTAACGCACCCTACAAGCTACATATCGGGATTTTTGTTTTCGATTTCGCAAATAAATAGTCAAGATAAGCCTAATATACTATAAAGGGTGGCTAAGCAAGCGTATCTTCTAGAAATCCTGCCCTAATCTTAGAGATACTGTTACTAAAAAGGTCGCACTGGCTTTTATTTGCTCGTAACTTTTTTAATGCCCAAAGTTATAGCTCCAACTTATTAATTATTAAACAGGGTGTCACAGCCGAGAGTGACCCATTTTACATGCTTATCTATAACTTTTAAACCAGGTGTGCTAGCTACCTGCGGGTGGCACCATCCAACTTCTCTTGGAGTTTTTTTTAGTTGGTTGCAAACTTTTTCGATAGGTACTAATTCAGAGCCAGGAAGGAAAAAAAAAAAACGGGTTTTCTGACTGTTTTCAACCAATGAAATTCGCTCTGACTGGTTTTTGATTTCTGCAGAAACAGACGTTATATCACGCACGCTGAATATGTGTGAGTATCTCCATATCACGCGGAATTGTGACAACCGATGAATTGTGATTAGGTAATTACTCTGCGTGCATGCAGCGTCTGACTCAAAATGAGCGGCTGCAACCAGTGTCTGTACCCATATTGGGTGGCCGAGATAACACTCGCCAACAAGCTTAGCAAGCGTGGCGTTTTAATTGCCATCAACCTCCCAAAAACCATGTTACAGTCGAAATCCAAAACAAGATTACCCCAGATGGGTAGAGCTCGAGCCTCATAGAATCCCATTCCGAAATAAAATCGGGCAGCCTCACGGACTCTGAGGGAGGCAAGAGATCGACGAAAAACAACAAACCAAAGCAGACTATTTACATTGTTAATTATAATATAAGGACGATAAGAACAAGCGAGCACTTAGAGAACTAGAGGAAGAACTGAGAAATATTAAGTAGGACATAGTAGGGCTATGCGAAACATAGTTGCAAGGAGAAAAAGTGACTACTCTAAATTCTGGGCACAACCTGTTTCAAAACAACTCAGAGACCAACTATAGCCAGGGGGGAGTGACTTTTATCGTTAACAATCAATTCAAACACCTTATTAATAAATACCAAGCAATATCAAACAGGGTGATATACTTGGTAATAAGCCTAAACAAAAGATACACTATCCAACTGATACACTGCTGCGCACCTATAAGTACAGCGACCAACGAAATGATAGAAGAAGTATACGAAGATATTACACGGGCCTGAAACCTCGAAAACACTCAATATGTAATTATTACAGAGGACTTTAACGCCAAGGTAGAAAAGAGACAACCAAGTGATACATGCTACATAGGGAACTTTGGTCAGGGAGAACGAAACGAACGAGGAAATACGCTCGTAAACTTCCTAAACAACGAAAAACTCTACTGTATGAACACCTTCCAAAAACAAACTCAAAGGAAGTGGAAGTGGCGAAGCCCAGGCGGACTGGTGAAAAATGAAATAGACTCCATCCTTGCAAACAGAGATACTATCTGCAAAGATGTCACAGTGCCAAACAGGTTTGACACAGGAAGCGACCATAGACTAGTGCGTGCCAAGATACAAACACCAACATAGAAAGGAGAAGACTAATAATCAGCCATTAATTCCCTACAAGAGATGCCCTGCAACTCAATCAGGAAACCTATCAAAAAAAACTGGAGAAGAAGCTAAGGCCAGCGACACTCCAGGATAATTATATAGATGAAATCCTCAATAAAATATCACATGGCATAACTACAGCCACAAAGAAAACATGCAGTAGGATAAGGCAGAGATCAGATACCAAATTAAAACCAGGGACGATAGACCTAATAAGAAAAAGAAGAAAAACTGACAGAGACTCCCCAGAATATAATACCTTAAATAAAACAACGAAAAAAGAAATAAGAAAAGACCTAAGAGAAAACAAAACAAGCAAAATCCTGGAAACTATAGAGAAAAATAAAGGCATATGAGAGTTCTAAGATCGAACCAAGAGAGAGGAAAACAAAAAATTGTAAAAATAAAAAACATTCAAGGAAACCTTATCACAGACAATCAGGAAATTAGAAGGGAAATACAAATATTCTACGAACAGGTCTACCAAACAACTATACCAAGCCCAAATGGACCACCTAAACACTTTACAAACGTAGGCTCAGAAGATATGCCGGAAATATCACCATCAGAAATTAGATACGCACTCCAACAGATAAAAAACAGCAAGAGTCCGAGAGAAGAATAACACCGGAAATGCTGAAGATGGGTGGAAAAACACTAACAGGGACAATACGAATGCTGTTAAACAAATGTCTGATAAAGGGAAAAATCCCGAAATCATAGAAAAATGCCGAAGTCGTGATAATATACAAGAAAGGGGATCGCTCAAATATAGAAAACTATAGACCAATAAGCCTACTATCACACTTATATGAACTTTTCAGTAGAATTATCAACAATCGACTGACTGCGAAGCTAGACTCCTTCCAACCGGTAGAACAAGCAAGCTTTCGAAGGGGCTTTAGCACTACAGACCATCTGCAAACAATTAGGGCAGTCATCGAGAAAACAACAGAATATAACATACTCCTACATCTGGCATTTGTGGACTACCAGAAAGCCTTTGACAGAGTTGAAACCTGGTCTTTTCTAGCGACGATGGAGGACGCAAGAATCGATTCGAAATACCCTTATTAAGAATATCTATAATAAGGCAACCTTTCATGTTAAAATAAACGACGATCTTAAAACAGACAAAATATCAGTTGGCAAAGGAGTACGACAGGGGGATACCATCTCTTCCAAGCTATTTACCCTAGCACTGGAGAATATTTTTAAGAAGTTGAAATGGGAAAACAAGGGCTTAAACATCAATGGAGCATACCTCAATCACTTCAGATTTGCAGACGGTATAGTCTTGATGAGCACCAACATTCAAGAACTGAACAACATGCTAAATGAGCTAAACGAGCAATCCAAGAAAATAGGCCTAAAAATGAACCTGAACAAGACCAAAATAATGCGCAAGAATTAATGTAACATTAGAGAGATATCGGTAAAGCAGATAGCGCGTATGGACGGTAATAACGTCAGGAGTTATTTTTTTAAAGTAAAGCGGTATCATCCTTTCAAATTAGAGTTATCGGAAAACAGTTTAACGTAAAATTTGCCTGTTCGCATC